GCTTCTTTGAAGGAGGGATAGACAGTAAGCAAACAATGACAGTAGGATTTGATTACAGCAACAATAGGGGAAAACACGTAGGATGGGCACGCAACTAGAGAGGGAGGAGGGAGTCAGGAAAGTTGCCTTCGCGAGGTAAAGTGGTTGCTGAGGCTGAGAAGCCAACAGGGATTAACCAACTGGGCCTCCGGTTCTGTAAATGAACAGAAAGGCGTCCACTCCTCTCTGCCTCCCGTCTTGGAAGCTGTTGGGTCCTGGTGATGCCAGAAGCCTAGTCCTTTGCAGGTCCCTTACTCTGTCTGCATCCGCCTCAGCTGTGGCTGTCACTCCAACTCCCAATTAGGGGGCTTGGGGCGTGAGGGTCAGCCTCAGGATGCTGAGGGTACATGGGTGTGTCACGGGCCCCCTGGAGTTTCTCATCTCTAAAATAAGGACTTCAGACTTCCCTACATGTGCCCTGGAGTCCTCTGCCTCTAACATTTCATTTTTTAGTGATTTTATGAAAAATGTTTGGCAAAGCAAATGAATAGGGTAAACAAGATTATAAAGAGAATATTTGCCTTCTTAAGGGACTAAATTGTTCTCCAGCATATCAGGAACATCATTTGCATATAAACAATGCAAATCCTGTATAAACAGAAGAGGCTTGTTTTCTTTGGTGCTTTGGTAAATTGATTACAAATCGTTCTCAGTTCTGCTAGTTCATATGTTAAGAAGTGACAGAGCTGCATTCATTTTAAATCTATATTTCCAAATATTCATGATTTCTTGACTGTTCACAGTATCTGACTTTTCTCTCAATTAGCCTAACTTTTCTTAAATTATTTCTTTATTCAAATAGTTATAAATATATGGGATTTGTTTTTCCAAGAAGGACTTGGAGAAATTCCTCTCATGTTACTCAGATGTCAACGATATCAGCTGCACGCCGCCCCACTTTCAGTCAGCCTGGATTTGTGGAGGAGGACCCAGCAAAACTTACAGCAACCTCAGGACGCAAAGCACTGTCTGCATTTTTAACTCCCATCGTCTCGTGGTCTTTCTACATCTTTCTCTCGTTATAACTCTGAGTGCTTCTCCCTCCTACCCCTATATTCATCAGACTACATACACTTCCACAAATAATCAACACTTTGCAAGTATTTTATTTGTTTAGACAACTATTGAAGATTTAGCCTCATGCAGAGGTAGCACCATTCACAAAAGAGAGCCATCACCCTAGTTCCACTCCCTCCATGCCTTCTCCCCTTCTCCCATATTCTTTTTCTCTTCTGCCATATTCTCTTTCCTCCCCAAGCCCCCTCATTCCCCTGCTATTCACCCCTCTCAGAAGCATAACATGCTGCTCCCCTTGTCTTAATAAGCATGGCAGTTTACTGCTCGCTTCCTATAGGATCGGCATTTTCTGGAGATTTTGTTTCTCCTCCCAAGTAGCTGTTTGAAATAATCCAAATACAATTTGTGGGGTCAGGGTAAGTTCAGGAAAGGAAATCTTAACGAAGCATGCTTCAACAAGAGGTCTGAGAAAAGCTGGCCTGGTAAAGGCGTGGGGAGGGGGTGTGTTCCCAGGAGGAAGGAGGAGACTGTGCAAAGCACAGGAGCACATGGCACATTCAGAACCTCAAGTAATTCTCTGGGGTCTGAGGGTAGAGTGATTATGGGGCAGGGGTACTGACAAAAAGGTGGAGCAGAGAAGGCAGTGGTCACATCATGAGTTATCTTTGTCTATTACATTTGGTTGCAAAGATGGCAGACAGAAAGAAGACCAGTGTAATGTCAGGGGCCTGGCATAGGGTATGGGCAGGGGATGAATAGGAAATGACGTATTTATTAGTGAAATAGGAAACCAATAAGAGTGTGGTTAATTGGTTATGGGGGAAGGAAGGAAAAGGAACAAGCCTGGGAAAACATTGAACGTCTGCCCTGAATTCTCATTTGCCGGTTAGGGAATGCAGGAAAGGATAGAACAGAAATTGGGAGATATTCAATTTTGGAAATACAACTTAATTTGGTTTATCACTGGCTCATCTTAATAAATTGAGCAAAGGTGACAAGTTCTTGGATGTTATTTGTGGCACATCTCAGGCAGCAGGTTGAACAAGGTCACAGTCATGACTATTCAGCAACATGTTTGTGGAAAACATCTGGGACATAATTCGTCCTCCTCTGACAAATTCTGGCTGTATCATTTCATGCAGAGCATGGTTCACGGTTTCATTTTTCATGCCTCTGTAAACTTTCTCCCTGACCGCCAGAAACTAGGCATGATAATGGCTGAGGATATTCCACTTTGTTTTTTAATTGGTTTATCAGACAGCATAAATTCAGCGTGGAACAGATGAATCAGCATGTTTTTCTCTAGTCACCACCTTCAAACAGACTTGGTCACAAAGCTTTCCCAGCCGCTGTCCCCAACCACCATAATATCTCAGGAAGCTTGTGTGCCTTTCCAGTCAGTGTCAATGATGAGAATGTTTAATTTCAATATGGAAGGCTTCTTTCAGGTATTAAGAAGTACTTACTAGCCTACTTAGAGACATCTATCTGAGACCCAGTTCGGAACGCCCCTGCCTCTGAACCGTCCATGTCAGAATGGCAAAAGGGGAAGGGGAGAGAGATCTTTCCTGACTTAACCTGTCCTGCAGATGTGACTGTCATCTGGCTGGGGGTCTCAGAGTGTCAGACTGCCCTGCAAGGCCATCACATCCCTCTGTGGGGCAGGGGCTGAAGCTCGCAGCAATTAGGTGGAGCCCTACAGTCCACTGACATGGAAACTTTTCTTTTGGGAAGGTGGAGAGACCCCTTCCAGAATGTTCTCAGTTTTTTGAACTGCAAATCAAGACCCCAAGAAAAGTCTACTAACCTTCAGTTGCAATTTTATTTTTTTTTAGAAAGTGAAACAGAGGGTGTTATCATCCATTTTATGATGATATATGTCAAAAATAAAGTGAGCTTTGTAAGTATGGTTGGTATGTATGCAATGCAATTGAAATCGTCTTGTCAAGTCCAACCACATTTGAGACTGAGAACAAAGACTGTCCCCGCAAATGGAAACTATGCAATGAATTCTTTCTACCCTGTGCCTTTCTTCAATTTTCTATTTAAAGAAATTTTTGAAAATGCATGAATTATGCAGTTCATCTCTCAGATGAAGTAAAATTTTCTTCTTGGATTGGATGGCTACATATTTATTAATAGCAGTAAAATTTTCCACGTTCTTTTGTATCAAATGGAATGCCAACTAAAATATGAAGGCTTTTCAGCAATAATAACAGTAATGGATGAATAATTATAAAAGTTATATGGAATTGAAAGGCATTTTAATTTGTCACTACTTCCACGTGTTCAGAAAAGATCTGAATAATTATCCTGACTATAAAAAGGAATATTGTGCTTTTTTCCTCATAATGGGATTAAGTTCTTAATATAACACTTTTACTATAAGTTTTAAAAAATAACTCTTTTCTGGTTTCTTTTATGATGTAATCATGACAGAAGCCAACTCAGCTGGAAATGTTTGGTTTTCTTACTTGTTACACAGGGATGCTGTACTTCAAAGTTACTTTAATTTGAAAAGTGTTCATCTTTGCAGCTTATGAAAATGAGATTACACTTGTTTGCTTAGTGAGAACTTCCAACCTGTATGTCACATTAATTCGTGAAGATGACAATGACTGTAGAATTTCCTTGGGTCATGACTGGATGGTAGTAGAAACTGGGATTCTAAAACAGGGTTTATTTATTTTTTAACAACTGTTTAAAGGTGGCTGCATTATTAGCATCATTCTAAGGAAAAATTTCAGAACTAATTTTTAAGAGAACGATGCATATCGCCTTCATTTTCTTTTGATCTGCCCCATACCAACATCAGTCAAATCCTTATTTAGTTCTTAAGAATATTCTAGGACAGCCCTTTTTTTGGAAAATAAAATTTCAAGATATGCTGTGTATTTCTAAGTGAGTGATAAAATTTCCCTTTGTAGTTTGTGAATTTTTATTTACCAGGTTGCTACTAAGGCATTCAGCTCTTAACAATAGGGGACAGGAAAATCTAGGCAAGGATTCTAGCCTTTTTCAGCACCTGTTCTAAACTTTGCCACCCTCCCCTCTGTGGCTTTATGGTTAATCGTCAGCTCTTAGAAGACACTGTTTTGGCAGCCTCTGCAGCCAGAAGATATCTTCAATATAGCATGCGAGAATTCCCCGGCACATAATGTCAACAAGCTCTTTTAGCTTCTGAGTCTGATTTTTCCCAGGGTTCAGTTCCCACCGCTTAACAGCTGTATGGCCTTACGCCATTAATGCAGCCAATTTAAGCCTTAGTGTTCTCATCTTTAAAATGGGAAGACATGATATCAACATTAAAGGTGGTTGTGGGGATTAAATTTTAATGTAAAATACATATGGAATTCTTCACACATAGTAGACTTGCAATAAAGGGCAATATCTTCTGACTGTAAAGAAAAGTAAAACTAAAAACTCTTTAAAAATTAGCTATCTATTTCATTTAAATCAACACTTTTTGAGAGTAAAACCCAAAACAATGTTTCCTGTTTATCTAACAGGGAAAATTCTGAATGAATTGAGAATGAGGTTTATAATAATTTGAAATCTAAAGGTAATAGTGTTTTCCCCTTCCAATGAGAGAGTTCTACAAGTGATTATGTCTGAAACTTGAAGATGGGTATATGTGGTATGCCATAAATAAAAACCAATTTGTTATTTTCACTTTAAGAACTTTCAGAATGACTTTCATGTCTGGCAAAAGAGAGAGACATATTTTCTTTTACATACATCGAGGTGACATTGGTGATTTGAGTTATGGTATATGCAAGTTATTTAGAACTTAAAGGATTCATCATATAAATTCAGCTTGATTTTAATTTGATGGCTAACGTGATGTGGGAGTGGAGAGAGACTGGGTGGGACTGAGAGAGAGGGAGGTTGGAAGATGTAATTATGAAAAAAGATTAAGACTCTGCTCCTCTTCTGTCTTATAGCCTGAAGAATAAGTAGTGAGAGCATCAATCAAAACATGAGAAAAAATGTCAGGATTTCTCTGCCATGGAGAATTGCTGGTCAACCACCAGAAGAGGATTCTTTCCTAAACAATGAACATTTCTTATGAGGACTCACAGATGAACATATAACTAATTTTAGTTTTGGAAAGTGAATGAGTTTTATTTTCTGCTTTTTTCTTTCTTTTTTTTTTTTTTTTAGTTTTGTGGTGTTATGGTATTTGGATGGATTTTTTTAAGTCTGTCCTGATAATATATTTAGCACATGTTCTAAATTACAATCCTGTAGCCAACAGTGGGAGCATCATTTGAGCTTAAAGACAATGGAAAAATCTCAGTTTCCAATGTATTTCAGATTCCTTCAGCAGTCAATTATTCTATTAAGTCTTTGATTGAGATAGAAACAAAACCACCTCCATCAAGAAACAAACAGTGTTCTTTCATTAGGTTGAACATGATTCGTGGTCATCCATGTGCACAGAACCAGAATGAATCACTATTAGTAGAAGATACACCACAGACACGAACGCCCAACCTACTCATGTCACCTTCACGTATGTGAGCCACATTTGCCGTCTGAACAGTGAGAATGAAGAGGGCACATGAAGGAAGAATCCTCATCCTTTTTTTCTGATCATTCAAAGAGCCATTTCTCAAGGTTAAGCCAAGTCCTCTTTGCAAGCTGCCAAAATAATAGTTTAGGAAAAGAATTCGTTTGCCTGCATGATGATCTTCTTAGGCAAAAAACATCTTTAACAGCAGTTGACCTCGGTGAAATGTTTTCCGAAAGGCATCCAAAAGATTATACATCCCAGAATCGGAGGGAAATAAAAGCCTGTCTGTTATAAAGCTGGCCTTAATGCTGGGCTTTAATGCGGTGCTTTGGAAAGAACTGAGCACATTCTGAAGAGATGCCAGCCCTGTTTCTCACTGAAGTTCTCTTGCTGAGCCAAGACTCAGTCACTTTGGAAAGAATACCTCTAGCCAGGATGGCAAACAGTAACGCTATTACTCCTCTATGGGGCACGTCTCTGAGTGTAAATCATAAAGTACTCTGTCTAGATTGAATTCTTCTCTGCCATGACTGGATTTGGTGTCCTGTAGGCTCTGCTCTGGCTGGGGCTGCCCTCGGTCCATGGTGACCCACCACAGGCAACTGATCTCCTCCTGGTGACAGGGTTTTCTGGACGTCTATTGTTTTTCCACAGAGAGCCAAGGTGATTCCAACTCAGGCGAAAAAGGACATGATTTAGAGATGCACTGTGTTGTTATTAATGTGCTTGGAATTTGGCACCATTCCTTTGAGGAGGGCCCGCTCAGGAAGGGCCAGGATTGCCGGCTTCACTGCAGTGGCCATGTGTTGTCCCATGGCAAAGAGGAGGGTTTGACGGGAAGCAACCTATTTTTGCTGTTTTAGAAAGCACAGTCAGGAGGTACAGACCTCCAATGATGATTTTTCTTCGAATGTGTAAAATAAGGCTTTATTGGTCAATTCTGCTGTAAAATAAGCACTGTCCAAGTAAAAAAAAAAAAAAAAAAACTATTCTGCTTCTATTTCTGTTTAGTGAATGAGCTCATACCCTTGAGTGTATTTTGTTAAAATAACCAAATATAGATGAGCCTATGAACATAGATCTCTTTTGCTTTACAGAGAGGTTATGCCAACCCCTTAATAGATAAGCTTCCAGATATAATAATCACATTATTTCAGAATTCCTCATCTAGCTACCATTGCTTCTTGGCACCCTGTCATGTGACAGTGGATGCCTGCCAGAGGCTTTCTTGTTTTCATATCTCCTTCTTTATTTTGCCCATGCAGATAAGGGAAATTATCATTCCAGTATACCAAGTAGGTGATGTGTTCCACCTTAAACAAAAAGAGCGTTATTTCTATTTTGGAAAATTGTGAATGAAAACCTCCCTGCTTGGGGAACTAGCTGTTGTTCTTTCCTTTTTTTGTGGGGGTGGGGGGTTATGATTATATTTGTTTAATAAGTCACAGGCCAGCTCACTGTGGAGGTGCTCAGGTAAAACCACCTGATTACAGCTGAGATTCCAGGACAGACAAGAATGAGTCCAGGAATTTCCTAAACTCTCAGTTTAGGAATCTAGGGACAAATTCTCTGTGAAAGAGTGAGACTGTCTAAATTAGCCATATTTACAGTACTTCCCCTGTTCCAAGGGCTTGCAGTAATGCCAGCTAACTAACCAAGTACTCCTATTTGACATTTAGCTCAAGTGAGGGAAAAATTATTCAGAATTAACATAACGCAGGAGCCTTGGCATCCTTATATTAGAGGAAAAATTTTGTAGTTAAAAAGATATTTGGTAAGTGGTTGCAATCATCTCAACTACTCCTACAGTCCTATTCATTCAATTCACTTACTTTGCAAAGTTTTTCTTTAAGCACAGGGGTAAGCTTCAGGCCAGAAATGCCACGGCAGTGAACCCCAAATTAATGAGCTGCCATTATGAATAGTCTCTGCAGTCCAGTGCACTAATAAATATGATTATAGCATAATCTGCTAAGTAGGGAGAACTACAGTGACCCCTTTTGCTGGTAAAAGTAGTAATAAAACTGGCATCTGCAATTGCTTGGCTGCAAAGACCCAGAGGATATGTTTGTCATTTGCCTCTTAGGTAGGTGACATAGCAACATAAATTGGAACTGCGAGAGTCTTTATCCCTTTTCAGTGAAGTGAGTTTATGAGACCAATCAGATCAAGTGAGGAAAGATATGGGACAGGTGAACAATGCTAATTCTCCAGAAGGGAAGTTTAAGACTCAGGGGAAAGGGGTGTCACCCCCCAGGAAGTATTTCTGGCAATATGAGAACAGTGTCTTAGAGCTCCAGTAAGGCAATAACCTTTCTACACTGTTGTGCATTCCATCCAGGCTAAATATTCATGGTTTGTTTGACCAGCTTCTACCAAGAACTGATTGCTATTCTTCTGTGACCAGAATGAGAAGAGTTTGTGGGGACAGATGCTTTTTTCTTTTTCTGCTTCTCACTTCATTCATTCCTCCTGAAGTCATGCTAAACTACCTCATAGATTTATGGTTTGGATTAGCTCTCTAAAAGTCAAGAGCTTATGAAGCATAAATCTCTGTGTAAATGCTGCTTTTGTTTGTGGTTTTTTTGGCTTCATATATACATGTCCAATGAACTCCCTGGATATTTCCTTGTAATATTTATCAAAGTTTGTAATATTTCATTGTAATATTTTTTGAACTTATCAAAGTTTGGCTTAAATTTTCTATGTAAATATCTTGATGTGAAATGAAACCTGGAGAGACCCAGCATGAATTGAGAGCATCAAACTCAAGTCTAGCAAATGTAGCATCTAAGGAAACACAAAGCATCTAGAATCAAAACCAAAATGTTTTCTTAAGCCAAGTTTAAAGCATTCTCAAAGGTTGGTGGGGTGGGGGGGAGCAGTCAATACTAGTTTGAAAAAGTGTATTAAGTCCTTTTGTATTATAATAGTTAAAATGCCAAAAATTGTCCATGATTTATATTTAAAATTAATTAGAATGGGTTTAAGATTATGCCGGTGATAACATAGCCCTTAATTTCTTTACATGCTGAGTAAAATGCAGAGGAAAAAGCCCACATATTTCTCAATATCTGCAAGAGAGGTTGTGCAGAGGACCATCTGCCTTGTTTGTGTCTTCCTAGAAAAATGTTGAACACTGTTGTCTTGAAGGATATAACCTAAAAAGAAAACAAAGGAGTTAATATCCAACAGTTTCTTAGTAACATCATCCGAAGGCTCTATGGCAACTAGTTAAAAAGTAATTTTACCCCCGGCTCTACTTTCCTGCCATTTTCCCCTGTATAATATATTACTCCTTAGTCACTATTCCAACTAGCAGTTTCATTTGCTAATTTCAAATGCCTCCACTTCATTAGCAATTCATTCTGACCTTTAGAAACCACACTCTGTAATCTTCACATTATATGAGTGAAGGGAAAAAAATCTAATTTTTCTGTCTCTGTACCATCATTAGCAGGTTATGTTATTTCTGAACAACAAACAATTGTCATGTGCCAAACTTACACCCTAACTGTGACTGTTTGAACAAACTTACTCCCCAATTGTGACTTTCTGAAGTCCTTGTTCAAGTATTGTCTTCCCATGTGTGGTCAATCAGCAAGGGCTGATTCAACTTCAGGAAGGTGAAGTGATCTACAGTGTTGTACATTTGGCTGTTAAATTTATTCATTTTTTAATTAAAGAAACAAATTAAATGCTATACACAATAATGAAGTCCCCTCTTGCATCCTTGCTATTTTGAGACTCCTGGCACATTTTTTACTTGAATTTTGGCTCTTCAGATGATTAAAAATCAGACTGTAAGACCACCAATGATAAGCAAGATAAGGTTTCTTTGTAGCGGCCAACTTTTCTGTGGCAGATTCTGCTTTTCAAAGTAAATTTTGTTATTGCATGTTCTTGTATTTCTTGAAATTGTCTTCATGTCTGAGTGGGATGTTAGTCAGTGTGAAAATGATAGTAGTGTTAATGATTTTCTTGCTGAGGGTCCAAAGAATGCCATGTTGGGTCAACCCCATGTCCCCATCAGTCCACAACTATGGCTGTAAATAATCTCCAAAAAGTTCCAAATGGGAGGAGGTGAGTAGCTTCCCTAATATTAGTTCCAAGGAAATGTTTAATGCTGAGTATGTGTATATAAACAAGGGAACAGGGTGGTTTTTCTGTTTTGTTAAAAATGTAATCTCTCTGAGCTTGAAAATAATGGAATGCAGGGTGGTCATCTTACAGTGAATACGATCTACAGAAGCTCTCGTGCTAGACAGCATGACCGGAGCATCAGGATAGCACATCCAATAGAGCATAGACACCCCCTGTCTTCCACGTGTTCAGGGTCGGATCTGGAGCATTAATAAATGGCTTATGTTTTTCTCCTTTCTTCTTTTGAATTAATTCTTCTTGTCACCTGTTAGGTCTTCTTTGTGGCTTTCGTGTTGGTTGGCTATAAGGTCCACAAATGCACAACTTTGTGGTGGCAGGTCCTTTCATCCACACTTTTGCTTAACTAGAGCATGCTATTATAACAAAGATTAGTAACAGGAAAACACATGTATGGGGAATATTTGCCATTTCCTAGACATATTTTTTAAAAGTCAACAAGTTTCTACTTTTTGACTAGATAGATTTTTTTTAAAGCCCATGTCTTCATCATCCTCTTCTTTACCAGTTAATTTAAGGCCAATTACAAGCCCACCTCCTATGTATTTATATAAGCTATCATCTTGCAATGTCCTTTAGTTGTAAAGAGTTTAATTATGATGAAAGCTAATCAAGTATCCTTTACAAGCTGCCCATGGGGGTATGTAATAAAGTGAGTGTTCTGCTTGACAGATTCCATCAGCCATTTACTTCTTTGATAGTGCTCAGGTATAAGCAAACCAAACACTTGAATTCCTTTTTCCTATCACTCACTGGTTCAGAAACTGCCCATCTTTCCAGATAAATGGTGAGCATCTCTCTGGTGGACTTGGTCTTGATCCTTATCTATTTTTATATAGTAACACGTCTCAGTTACTATCGGACTTTGTCTTTGTAGATGCTGAGTGCAAGACAGAGTACAGTTCCTACTTTAAGGAAATCCCTGGTAGCATATGGCTTATTGCTGGGATTTGCAGAGAACAAACCATTTTTCCTTTCCATTTATCTTCTTTAGCCAAAGTGATTCTGAGAATAATGCCACATATGCCTGAAAGGGAAAAACAAAACCCAAAACCTATTTGTATTTTTTATAAACTCCAGTAATCCAGTTTATAACAAATCCAGTTTTACTCAGTACAATATATATATGTTGTTGTCATCATATATGCATCTATTAATTCATTACCTATTGAATACAAAGTTTGCTATAGAGGAAAAGGTAATGGGGGTTAGAAAAGCAAAGAACCCTCATTTTAGAATAAGATACCATTGATTTGCTCTATGGTCTTGGACAAGCATTTAAGTTTTCTGAGCTTCAGAGTCTCAGTGTTTAAAGTGGGGCTAATGATACATATCTCATAGAGTTGTAAAAATTAAGCATATTAACTATGCATTTCCTCTTTCCTCTTTTCTGCCCTCCACCCAGCTAATACTTGCTCAGGGTAAATAGAAACATTGAACATGAGAGCCAGAGGAAGGCTTCTAGACCATCTTCCCATCTCTCTCATTTTGATCATTCTTATTTTTAAAATTATGTGATGACATAGAACCCCACATGGGAGAGGGCCACTGCCAGTATAACTCCAATGGGCAATGGCTGTCCAGAAGAGCAGAGCCCAAGATGTCCCAGAGGACCTTCTACTGTGCTCCACCTCCAACCCATACTCAAGCATATGGGCCAGGAGTTCTGTCTGCCATTGGGCTTCCACTTGGTACAAGGACCTGCGCTTGCAGCTAGTGAGGAGAGTTCATGATCAATTTTGCTGTAACACAGAAGGATAAGACATGTGGCATATCAACATATTTCCATAAGTAGAATTTCAGCTCCAGGCAGAGTTCAGCATATGGTTTTATACAGTATTTGCACATAGTGTACATACGTGCATGCATATAAATATGAATCTATTACCACATGACCTATTTCTACACTTTTCTCTACTTTTTTACAAGGTGCAGGATGAATAACACAACTGTGTGTATTCTATTTCCCTTTGTTCCTTTGTCTCATGATAGGAGCCATTTAACTGTAAAAATGAAGCTAGATTTATGACTGCCAGTCTGTTTGAGTGGTAATAAATGCCAGACAGACATTGCTGAGTCATAAAATTTTCAAGGTTGTGCCTAACCCACTACATAAATCAGTTTCCTCCAGACGAGCCCCCAACTCCAGAAAATTTGCTGACTGCAAATGGACCTGATGATCAAATAGCCCAGCCCTCTAAATGTGTCTGCCCCTCAGCACCCTGAACTTCTCTTCCTTGTTAGCTGATTAGAATTCCTTATGTTTACTCAGAAATTTGCCATCTGATTCAAGTTCACATCATGTCTGCTAGAGAAGCAGGCACACATCGGTACATGGCCAGAATCCTCAGCACTAGGGTGGATGAGTGAATTGCTGTGGAATTCCTGCAGAACGGGGGGGCTCACTTCTTCTGCTCAATCCTGGGAGGGGCATGACAGATCGGAGAGTCCCCACTGACCCAATCCCTGAGCCAGTGAGAGCCCTGCCTTGCAATGTGGGGTCTGAGAATGTACTGCTGCCTTCCACCTAGAGTTTGGTGGACCTGCGTTATTCAGACTAGACATTCAAATGATATTGGGCTGCCGTCTCTGTACAGCCTTTGGCATGTGTCCAGTCGCTGACTGCTGTGCCCAGACCTGGCTCCTTGGTCCCCATTCCTAGAACCTGGTTCCTACATAGAAGGTGTACTTGTACCAGCAGCAACCTCAGTCCTGATATACATACGCTTATGTACTCACCTAGTTCATCCTCTTCAAAGGTTTGCGTAGTGTACTGGCTCCCCCCTTGAAGAGGAGAGCCATGCCCTCCTTGCTGGTTCTCTGCACCAGCTATGCTTAGTCTACACCCCTTCTTGCTAATCTCATCAATGGAGGGGACCTTGATGGGCCTGACAAGCCGTGGGGAAAGGAGCCATGTATTTGCCCGTATGGTATGCACACATCTTCAAACAAACGGTTTCACAGTTCAGTTATTTCAAGTTAAAGAAATCATTTACAGAAATAATCAGAATTTAATTCAAAACTCAATGTGTTAGGAGGCATCAAGATGCAATAGTATGAAAGTAGATGCAATGTAAGCCGATGGAGCTTTAGCCACACTCTGCCAGGAGAGAAACCTGGGTCTTTATAAAGCAAGCCGCTTTCCTCTCTCCGGGCCCAGCTTTCTTGGGTCACACATCAGGGTGGTTTTGGCCTGGATGGATTGGTTACTGCATAAAGTAGGAAGTCAATGGCACATTAAAGCAGGTGACTATGCCTCTGTACTGTTGTATGCTGTAATGAAGAAATGCCTCCTACTTTAAGATATTTTAGTTTTCAGGAATGTGAATTAAAGCAACTCAGAAAAATTCACATGACCAAATCACACTGATGCCACCTCTATGGTTAAGTGGAGTCTGCAAATATTCTGCTCAAAAGAGTATTCTATCATAAACTCCCATAGACGTCCGGAAGGTTTCTGGTACTTTCCTCTGTGCCCTCAGGAATAACAGGATGATGTCCGGAGCCATCCCCATTCACTTCTCCTTTGATAGGGCTCTGACTCATTCATTCTTCATTTCTGTGGATGTGTGATTGTCAATGCATCCCTGGTTTCCACTTACAGTGAGAAAGCTACCTTAATTTTATAACCAAATATGTCAAATACTTAGAACAATTAAACAACTAAAGAAAGAGCAGCAAATCCAAAATCAGATCCACGTGTGGCTCAAGGGCGGCAGAAGGACAAGTCTCATCCCAGCCACGGTGACAGGCTGATCTGCAGCCGATTGCTGTCAGAAACACAGAGGTGCAGTGGCCATCAATCATTCCCAAGAGTGATCCCATTACCACCTGCCACAGCTCAAACAGAATGTCGTGTTTCTCCTCTCCTGCCCCTGAGTCAGAAAGAAACAGCACACACCAGCAAGCACTTGGAGAAGACGTGAGGCAGCGTGTGTTAGCTGGGTTTTAGGCATGCTAGGGGACGTCTGCATGAGACAGAAGAGACAGGGGTGGCCATCTGTCACATCAGAGGGCAGGGCAGGGGCAAAGGAGCCTTTTCCACCCTTGGGCACCAGGCTGAGGTGGCTCTCAGCTCTGCCTCTTGCCAATCGATCTCATTCGAATCAGACTGACTATTGAGAGACGCGACATCACTTTCTGTTGTTGTGGAGGACACCCACTCCGCGCTGGGTGGGACAAAGGGAACAATGGAGAGGAGGCTTTGGAACACAGCCAACAGGAGGAAAGAACCCCCCAGGGGTAATGACACCAGCACCAGGTCGCAGGAATGCTCTCGGCAGGGAAAAGCTCTCTCGTGTAATAATGGTTGTTAGGATGGAACAAGGCACAAACAGGGAGAGCTTAAATTGAATATTTGACAACACTGAAATCCTGTGAGCATCCATTGAATTTTTATTATTTTTTTTAAAAAGGGCCTTATTTAAACAGAAGGCCTGCAAAGGCTTCCAGCAAACCCCTTGTATCTCTTAGGAGGGGAAATATTTTCTCTGTTCCTTGCCGTTGGAAATGACAGACGCTGTCTCCTACGTGGGGGGAAATGTCCCTTGGAAGAGGATGTTTTAGATGATTAGTTACTCCAATTTGCTTCTCAAATGACAAGACTGGCAAACTGCCCATCATCCCATTGGCATCTCGAATGACCATGTTCCCTAGGTATAGTGAGGCATTATTTTCATTTCTACCCCTCTGAGCAGGAGGAAGGAGAGGAGGAGGGGAGAACTTGTTTCTGGACAACTGCTGTGGCTACACGAAGGTTCTGGATTGTTGGGAAGAACAGGAAGAAAATAGGGGGTATGGGAAAGCAGAATTCAGGCAAAATCAGAGCTTCTGGAACAGTATGACTTTTCAGAAATGTCTTTAGCAATTTGATCCTAATCTAAAGAGGACAAGTGGGAAACTGAACTTTCTCAGTGTCTCCTAAACTAGGGACAGACCAGCAGTTTGCACAGCACCTGTGGCTCATCTTCTGGGGGCACCCCCTGCACCCTGGGTCTATAAAAGGCTCAGGCACTAGGGGACCAGTTTCAGAGGCCACACTCTGAAATTGTGGGAAAGGCCTTCTCTAGACCTTGCTGTCCTTTCCCACACAACACAGGCTTGGTGTGAAGTGATGCCTATGGCCTTGTTCTGGTCAGTTCATTCCAGC